TATCTCACCACCATACTTGGCCTACACACTATTGCCAGTTTCTGTGAATAGCTTTGTGCCATCCAGAGACCTGTGAATGTTGAGACTAAATGAAGTGTAAGCAATGATTTTGCATTTCTCTAGGATTCTCTCAGATCACGGAAGCTACAGAGCATTTTTCATAAATTCCACGCTCTTTGTAAGTAACAGACGGGGCTGGAAAGTGAAAGAAATATATATCTCTTAAAATATTCTAACTAAAACTGTAGGGAGAACTTGATATAGGTGGAGTGCTATGACCCAAAATGGAATTTGAACAAATGCTCTTGTTTTGTGAATTTGCTGTGGGATCTCTAATGACAAGGGGTCAGGATTTGACTTCATCTCTTGGAAGATTGGGCACTTCCCCCAGCAGTCTTTTAACACCATGTTCAACATTTACTCATCTATGGCATAGTTAGCATCACTTCTACAACGTCCTGAGAATGACTTGGTGGTCTTTCATCCAACTAGTGTAGTGACAAAACCTTATTTAGCTTGACAGCACCCTGAGCTTACCTAGCTGACCAAAAGGTCAAGGTGATAGAAGCTTAAGTGAGCCTTATTTTCACAATTTTGAATTTTCTTAGGTCTAGCCCATTATACTTCCTCAGTGGATCAGGCACATTCAAACAATTTTGAATGAAAATGGAATGGGCAAGGAGTGTATTTTGTTTGACCAGGAACAGTACAACATTTGTTTCTGCTGAAGAACTGTAGGTCACTGCCTCGTTCCTATTTCCAGCTAGAAGGTGCATTTCTGCCCCGAGTGACTGGCCTGGCCTAATTTTTTGAATCCTTTCATTTGTAAGTTAGTGTTGCTACGGTGTAAAGCTGAGACTTCCTTTAAAGTCCATGCCAGAAAAGGCCTAGCTACTGTGATACCTCCGGAGCTCAAATAGTACTGTATCTCATTGCCCAAATTAAGAGACTTGGCTCTGCATTTGCCCTCATCTGAGTTAGGATATCAGTTTTCACAAACTGTGGCAGCAATACAGAAATCTGATAATAGGATACTGAAGTTTGCAGTACAGGTTGAGCTGCCTGCCAGCCATTGCCTTAAAGGAGAAATGTGCCTATTCATACAGTGAGGGGCTGAATTCCTTCCCAGTGCTTATCTGGAAGGGGAATGCAAAGAAGAAGAACTGGATGAGGCTGCTGGTTCTCTTTTCTGTTTTCCGTACAGCTTTGTATTCCGTTAATTATCAAAAAGTAATCAAGGGTGAAAACTGGAATACTTCCTGGTGGGAATGTCTTCTCCAAGAGTAGCATTCTAGAGCCGTGATAGAGTTGTGGTGAGCATATCTGGGACTGAATCCTGGACATCTGGATCTAAAACATAAACCTCTACTGCTTGAGCTGAAGAAGTGGGTCTATGAAGTTGGAGACATTAGCAATCTAATGAACCCCTTTATGTGGACCAGCCACTAGAGGGGGACTAAGGGACACCATCATAGGACCTAACCACATCAGCCACACCATCAGGAGCTCGTTCACCTGCACATCTACCAATGTGATATATGCCATCGTGTGCCAGCAATGCCCCTCTGCCATGTACATTGGCCATACCGGACAGTCTCTATGCAAAAGAATAAATGGACACAGATCTGACATCAGGAATTATAACATTCAAAAACCAGTAGGAGAACACTTCAACCTCCCTGGTCACTCAATAACAGACCTAAAAGTGGCAATTCTTCAACAAAAAAAACTTCAAAAACGGACTCCAACATGAAACTGCGGAACTGGAATTAATTTGCAAACTGGACACCATCAAATTAGGCCTGAATAAAGACTGGGAGTGGTTGGGTCATTACAAAACCTAAACCTAATTTCCCCCATACTCATTTCCCCCTACTGCTACTCACACCTTCTTGTCAACTGTTTGAAATGGGCCACTCTCATTACCACTACAAAAGTTATTTTTCCTCTCTTAGTATCCTGCTGTTAATTGAATTGTCTCGTTAGACTGACCTCACACTTGGTAAGGCAACTCCCATCTTTTCATGTATTTATACGTGCTCCTGTATTTTCTACAACATGCATCTGATGAAGTGGGTTCTAACTCACGAAAGCTTAGGCCCAAATAAATGTTAGTCTCTAAGGTGCCACAAAGATTCCTCGTTTTTGCTGTTACAGACTAACACAGCTACCACTGTGAAACCTGTGGGATCATGGTTGCATGCCACATAGGATATCCTTAACTGTCTTATACTGGGTGCAATAGCTATCCATATAGTAACATTTAATAACACCTTTCTCTGACGAATTACTGATGACAAGTCTCTCAGCTCTGTTTTTCTTGCCCCTCCCCTAACACACTTCTCTCTTTGGTGTACCTCCACTTTTAGCCTGTTCCAAAATGCCATGTGAATTTGCCGTTGACTATTTTAATGCAATTCTGGGTGCAGTTAAATTTTTTCCTCCTTTCTGCAGTATTCTGAATGAGCTATTTTAACTTACCCCCAGGGAGCTTGTGTTTGGCCTCACTCGCCAGTTAGAGCGCTTTGGTTTGTTAGGTTTTTTGGTGTGACTTTGTACCGTATGGGTATGGTTACAGGTAGGATTTGGAGATGGTATCTGTGCATGCTAGTTTATGAATATTAGCTTGCTCAGAAGCATTTAAAATATTTTTATTGGAGTTACCCTAGCACAATGGACTTAAATAACATGCACAATGCTTACAGAAATGTTTTTCAGTATGTTACTTTAACCCATGCACAAGGTATCTGGCATTTTTAAAATGCCACAATTGCCATTATATGCACACCAATGTAGTACTTCATGTCTACATGTGACAGCTCCTACTGGGTCTGAAATCCCAGTGTGGATGAGCCCAAAAAGGGAAGCGACACCAAAGCCTGGGTGAAAATTAGGACCTAAGTGCTCCCATTGGGCGCTGGTGAGGCAGAATATAAGTAAAGACCTTTATGTAACTTTTTTGGTTTAACTCCCTGTTAAGATTCCAGGTGTAAATTCTTGATAGAAACTCACAAGTTACTCACACATTTATCATGGCCAGAAATTTTTCTTTTTTAAAATACCATTTATTGGGAGTGGTTTATAGTACAGATTATATTCTGTGCTGCAATTTTACGTTTGCAAATAGGTCTTTGTCACACACACAGATTAGGTTGTGACTGTGCTAATGAACTTGTGTTCTAGTAAGAAGCTTTCATTCTTGTTGTGTGAGTTCAAAGCCACCTAAATGCTTGTTCTGTGTTCTATAGAGTCAGTCAGAAATTCTCTAATTCCCCCCACCAGCTCTATCATTCAATGTGTTTTTTTGTTCTCCAATTTGTCAAGGAACTTGTGTGTGCCAGGAATATGCAGCATTGATTTTTTTTTTTCCCCGCTGTGAAGACTGCAAGATTACAGAGTAAACTTTTTTATTTTTAGGCTCCTGCTTAGTCATATATGGGCAGTTGATTGACCTGCCTTCCCACCTCCAAAGGGGGTGTGAAATAACTAAAAGAAAAGGAGTACTTGTGGCACCTTAGAGACTAACCAGTTTATTACTCTGAAACCTGTGAAATAGCTGCCACTCTTAATTTCCACCATAGACTTGTATCCGAATGCAGCTTGCCTTCTCTTTGCAGGAAAATTGACCTTAATTAGTTTTTCAATGAGTCATGGTCAGATTTACTCTCCCCCTCAAGGAAAACTGTGTTAGTGAGGCTGTGGGTGGAGTTGCTGAGAAGGTGTAATCAACATCAGCAAAGTATTGATTAGGGGAGCCATTCATAGACCTATGAAGAGAGAGTTGCTTTTTGATGGGCAAGGCTTTCTTTTTGGCAGGCAGGCACCTGCTAACAGATTGTGCTATGCTCCCTGGCTGCAGAATTTTTGATTTCAGTAAACACTTGGCTTTAGCAAGTTCCTCCTCCTGCCAGGAGATTCTGCTTGTCTATGTTACCAAGATTTCGTTGTAAGAAAGGGGCAGCAGGAAGAGTGCTGTGCAAAGCTGTTGTCACGGATAGAACAACCTGCTACAATAAATGACAGATTTCAGAGTAACAGCCGTGTTCGTCTGTATTCGCAAAAAGAAAAGGAGTACTTGTGGCACCTTAGAGACTAACCAGTTTATTTGAGCATAAGCTTTCGCTGAAGCTCACGAAAGCTTATGCTCAAATAAATTGGTTAGTCTCTAAGGTGCCACAAGTACTCCTTTTCTTTCTACAATAAATGGTAAATCTTCTGGGTCACGGAGTTACAGTTAGCTTGGAAAAATGGCATTCCTTCACTATGGCGTCACTGCACATTGTCCTCTAGAGAGGAAGCAAACAATGCGCTGTAGAACAAGCTGTTGGCAGCTCACATTTTAATGCATGAGTTTTTCCAGGTCTCATGTGCTGGTTCACTTTTTCCTTTTAGGTTTCAGTTTTAAAGGTGGCTGTTGTTACTATCCAAATGTTAATGCAGTGCTAATAGTGTCTGCTGCAAGAACAACAAAGTACAGATTGGAGATACTCCATAGCAGCCTTGTTCTGGCTAATTTGCTCTCTTATCTGTATGTGGTGTTAACAGAGGACAATTTCCACTAAGTTCTGAGGCAGCCTGGCAGTATGTGTTTGTACTTTTTGAAATCCAGTATGTCACCCAGCTTGGAAAGCTAGCATCATTTTCTGGCAGTCTTGATGATTTTACTGCTTCAACATTTTAATTTCAGCCTTGAAAACCATACCTCTATGCAGTGCCATTAGGCAGAAAGCATAACGGAGCATGTGTGGTGTTTGCAAAGGTCTTTGAAGATGTAAAGCATGCTTAGTGTTGTTGCAGCCACAGGTAGAATCAAACCTTGGCTTTTCAAGCAAGTGGATGGTTGGTGGAGGTGATATATCCTAGCAGTGCCCAGAGACCCTGATCAGGATCATAGCGCCATTGTATTGAGTCCTGTTTCTACACCTAAAATAGGAAGAGTCCCTGCCCTGACTAGGCTGTGTTCTAACAGTATCGTTTGTATATCTGTTTTGTTTCCCCAGTTTCTAGGTGGCAGAGAGATAGTGAAACGCTGTGTGGGGCAAGAAAAGCAGTTGCGGGAGCCCTGCGTGTAAACAAAGATGGATTGGCTGTGACAGTGTGCCTTAGGTGGGGAGATCGTTATTATGAAGACTTCCTACAGAGCTGGCCTCCACAGGGAACCACTGAATTCCACATCTTCGACATTCCATCAAGTCAAACGGTACAAACAGACTCCAGTTGGGCCATGAATGGTTAACACATGTAGGCCTACCGCTTAATTCCCTGCTTTGTGTGCCAGTCAAACTCTTAGATAAAACCCTTGCTTTGGAGAACCTTTGCCTTTAAGTGAAATATTAACAGTAGTTCTAATCACTGTGGGGCACAATTGTCCCTTAATATTTTTTTAATTAGATAACAGCAGCTACATTGTTACTGCTGCTTATGTCCTCGGAGAAGCCTTTGGGTTTTTTTTTTTTTTGTAGCAACAGCTGTAACTTTATGGAGATATGGCTTCAAAATAAAAATATAATTGGAGAGTGGATTGCTGTAGTAGGATTTGAAATATGCAGTGAGCTTAAAAAAGCTAGCAGAAATACCAGTAATCAGTAGGGTGGTCCGTCTGCCTAGAGAGTAAATAATTAGATTAGTACAAACTTAAATTTTGCTTCAAGTGGACACCTGTTTCTCTGACTAAGTTCAGTTGTGCCCTTATTTTTCAAACATTACTGCTTACAAGGCAATTGAGAGCATCTGTGTTGCTATTGCAAGACTGAGAACAACTCCTACTGATGCAGTAAAGAAAATGAAAAGGTGTACTTGTGGCACCTTAGAGACTAACCAATTTATTTGAGCATGAGCATAAAGTCTGCTGCAGTTTCCACGGTATACATCTGATGAAGTGAGCTGTAGCTCACGAAAGCTCATGCTCAGATAAATTGGTTAGTCTCTAAGGTGCCACAAGTACTCCTTTTCTTTTTGCGAATACAGACTAACACGGCTGTGACTCTGAAACCAGTAAAGAAAATGCAAATGACAAAATAGAGCGCTGAATTCAAGCTTAATAATATAAAAAGCATTTCTCCTTTTTAAAGATGTTGAAATCTTGTAACCTTCCTGGCCCTGGGGGCAAATAGCCAGCTTTCAGCTTCTCATACCTGTGTGCATGTGAAACATAAACAAATTCTGTGTCCTATCTTTCTTGACGGGGGGGGAACGGGACCGGACGCTCCATCAGTCTGTTATTGACCTACAGCCAAATCTTGTAGTCTAAGTTGGGCAGAACTCCCACTGACTCCCCGGGGGGTGGGCGGGGGGGAGGGGGGGAGGCTGTTGTCTCTGTGGTGATTGGTAAGAATGCATTGTATCCAGCCCTGCTTGCTCCCACCCCATGTCACACGGGGGGAAGGGTAGTGGGTGTATAGAGCCAAATATGCTGACTTTATGCCACCCAGAGGTTGCTCTATGGCACAGGGTTCTTTGAAATGCTATGTAGAGCAGCTTTTAGGCTGCTTTGCCCTGCCTGAGCCGTGCAAAGGTGACAGACTCTGGGCTGAGAATCGGGGCCAAAAGATTTTGGGGGCTACCAACGCTTACAAGTGGTTGTCCAGAACCAAAATGTATTTTAATAATAACTAGCTCTTGCACTGCATTCTTCATCTGTAACTTTCCAAGTGCTTTACAAAGGAGCTCTGGATCATTATCCCCATTTTGCCGATGAAGAAACTGAGGCACAGGAAGGCGAAGTTACTTTGCCCATGGTCATGTTTAGTAGTTGGTCCAGGCAATTCATTTAGACTCTGTCCTTTTGTAGTCTACAGCCTTGGCCATGGAACTTGTTGCAGACTAGAGCGGGTCAACAAACATTTTCTTTTCCTGTGGAAAATGTCAGCGTTTGGGCAGAAATGTGAATATTGAAATGTTTTGGTATTCAGCCAAGGTTTTTTTGATTTGGAAGTGCTGCTTTGGTGCCTCATGGGCTTGTTCTTCTCTATAGGCCAGATGGAATTTCCCATCATGTGCTGTGGCCTCCTCTCTTGAATCCTGAGAGTCCCTGGCCATGGTGCATTCTGGATGTAGTCTGACTGGGGAGCCTGGCCCATAGAGCAGAAAAACAGTTTAGATTGAGAACTTCTAACCAGCCGTACTACAGACTTCTGCTCCTGTATCTCAGCTTTCATGGAAAGTGAACAATTTCTTTGGTTTCTGAGCCTTCATCATTGTAAAGATGATCTTCCAAATATAAACTGATGCAGTAACATCTACCTGAGTCTGCAGGCAGCTTGAAACAGTAGCTCTTGGGTCTTCTCTTCACTAGGAATAAAGGTGTGTTCTTAACTTGTGTTAACTAACACATGTTAAATAATTTGGTAAAATCCTAGTGAAGACAAGGCAGTTTATAGTTTTAATATGAGTCAACACCTCTTTTCCTAGTGAGGATGCACCCTTATAGGTGCGTGAACTGCCCCATTATCTCAGTGGTTTAAAGATAAAATAATGATACTTTAAATAACATAGCTAATTATTTTACTGCTGATCCTTTTTAGAAGAAACATCCAGGTAACGTTCTTCCCGGGGGGCCCCAAAGCCCTAACTGTTCATTAACCAGGTGCCAAAGCTTCCAGCTCCCACCTGATAACTTCTACAATGTCATTGTCTCTACATAAAACATCTGAGGCACCATGGTAGAGGCAAACAAATTGACTTTAATACCACAAAGGGTAAGACCCCGATCTTGTGAATCACTCTTGTATTTAACTCACTTTAAAATGCTCAGTTTAAAAAAACTTACCTGCAGCTCCCGCAGTAACTAGCCTGTAGCACTGGAGTGCAGCAGGAATTGAGTTAAAGGGTGTCTAGGCTATGGTTCATATTGTGAGCGAGTTCTGATGAGAAGACTCTTGTTTCTTTTATAGCTTCTAGAATTTGAACATGTTGTGCTGTTACTCTGGGGGTGGGGAAAATGCTTGCTGGTTCATCTAAAACTAGCTCTTTTTTCTAATCTTCACATTGCAGTGGATGAGAACTTTTCCCCAATAAACTTTTTGCTGTAAAGTCTGTGAAATTCTTTTAAAATGCAGCTTGCTGTCTCCCCAATGGCTGAAAAGTTTGATAAACTGATGGCACCCCCAGTCTGTTGGTCAGATGGAATTAGCAGTGCTTCCTTATCACTGTCTAAAGCTATTAGGATTTTCAGCAATTCTAGATAGAGACACTGTAATTGAACTCTGAATTCAAATGCGGCAATTGTTCTGGCAATAAAACTTAAGTAAACTATGACTTTCTGATATATGATATAATCTGTTCAGCCTTCAGTAGTAGTCTCCACCTCGCCCACCAGTAACTTAAATACTGGCAGAAATGTGAGAACTTAAATGAAGAATCCATAATAGATGATCTGTGATTCTACTCTTTCTCTTGCCATAAACCAGAAATAGCCTTGAGCAGCTGTACCAATTCTGCTGGCTAAGCATGTTGGAATAATTAGTTCAGTTCTATTTTATTAATTTAATACCTTGCCTTATGTTCAGCGGCAGTCTCCTTAATGAAGGATGCTTTGCTGATTGCCCTGCTTAGTGCATGTCAGAAAATATGTGAAAAAGGAGAAATGAGGCTCTGTTCGATCTTACAAATTTTCCTGGCACTAGAAATTCCATCTGGGAATTTTATTTTGTACTTCCAAATTACTGGACTCCAAAAAGCAAAAATGTCTATGTAACTGCAGCGCTCGCTCACTCGCTCTCTCTCTCTGCAAGGGACCTGCAGTTCTAAGGGGCCAGAAGTTGTTTTATTTCTAGTAAAAATTAGTCTCTAAGGTGCCGCGAGTCCTTCTTTTCTTTCTGCGAACACAGACTGACACGGCTGCTGCTCTGAAACCTGCCTTTGTTTCTAGTGCGAAAGGGGGCACTTCAGCAGCGCAGTTCCAGCATGAAGAGGAAAGAGTGCCACCTACTGTACCACAAGCACCACTTTCTGCATGCAGCAGCCTGGATTTTTCTGGGAGGCCTCTCTTCCGGGGAGTGTAGAGACCTCGCCCTGATTACTTCCTGAGCGCAGCCTGAGAGGACCCAGCTGATCGGAAAGTTGGGCGAGGGAAGCAGATCTTAGGGTTGTGTCGTTCAGAAACCAACTTGGAAGGAAAACCGAGGGCACGGTCACAACTGTTGGAATACTGAGGAAGAGGTGGTCTAGATCCAATAGAGGAGCCAAAGTGAATGCCTTGAATTGCGCCCAGAAGAGACTTAGCAGCCACGTCCTGCACAAGCTGGAGCTTCCAAATGGCCTCAGGTATAATGCCCAGTGGTGCCTATTGCACTAACCCAGTCGGCGACAAGCACAGAGATGACCATGGCACAGTCTGCATGTGACGAGAGGTTGCAATCTCCCTACCACACACAGGCTGGGAGCAGTGGGATGATGGGAAGGTGGTATTGGATCTCTAGATTGTGAATCTTCTGGGAAGGTGGACTAGCCAATGATCAAGACCTCCTGTTCATCAGTTCCCAGTGTACACAGCATAGATCTCAGGTTTGGTGGGTACCGCATACTCTTCTTTCCCTTCTGCCATGAAGGTCAAGGTGGTGAGCGAACTGGAAAGGGAGAACAAAGGCAGAGCCACCCTCTCAGCACTGTGAAAGGAGTTCCCTGGCTTTGGGCAATCTGCTGCAGTGACTCAGTCTAGAACTGTTGTCCCCAAGCTCCAACGCATTTGACGCTGGCAACTGGAGTTGAGGAATCTTAGCTTCTAGCAAACACTCTTTGCTGAATGTTCTACTTTTCTCCTCAGAGGCTGGGTTCCTACCATAGGCCGAGTTGAAAAACCAGCTTGGGATGGCCCAAGTGTAACTGAGGGTATCATACAGAGCCTCTGCTGTGGTGTGTGAGAAGGAGAGAGCCCAACTAGCCTGCTGGGCCCCAGGTTGGATTCAGTAGGCGGACAATTAGAAAAACCTCTTGTCTATTGACTGGGGACATTTGATCTGTAAATCATTCCACGACAGCCACCATGGAGCTCCATGATGCTTTGAAGAGACTTTTCCGAGCAGAAAGGCAAAGGTAGAGATGCTGGTTTTGGAGTAGCTGTCAGCTCTTGCTAGTCAGTGGTTTCGGTCACTTGTTGCAAGCTGTCCCAATAAATTTGATGGCATTTAATTCCCATTTAAATGAACAGGAAGAGAGATTATCCTAGTTTCAAAACAGGCTTTACAATGTAAAAATGTTAATCCGTTACCATGGAAACATACCCTATAGCTCTTCCTGTAATATGCTTGTGTGACAGTCCAATGAGACCAGAGATGGAAGGCTGCTGGTAATTAGTCCTGCCTCTCCCCCATGGCAGTCTGGGTGCTCCCCCTAGGCCTTCCTGCAGCTTTAGGTTTTTACCCAAATAGAATTACAAATGTATAAATGTCCACGGGGAAAGGAGGCTCTGAGAGTGTGATCCTGCTGCAATAGAAATGCCACTTCTGTTTCAGTCTGTGTCTCATTTATAGCTGTTAGATTCTCAATATAAAAACTTCAGCTTCATACTTGCTCAGTTCATAACAATGCGAAATATAGAAAAGTCTTAATTTGATATCTACACCTCTACCCCGATGTAATGCGGTCCTCGGGGGTCAAAAAATCTTACTGCATTATAGGTGAAACTGCATTATATTGAACTTGCTTTGGACTCAAGCATTTCCGTTAATAGTCACTTCCCGCCCCCTGACTGACCCCTCAGAACCCCTGACCCATCCAACCCCCCCCCGCTCCTTGTTCCCTGACTACCCCCTCCAGAGACCCCCCGCCCCTAACCAGCCCTCCAAGACCCCACCCCCTAACTAAGCCCCCCTGCTCCTTGTCCCCTGACTGACCCCACTCCCTACTAAACCCCCGCACTCCCTGTCCCCTGACTGCCCCGACCCCTATCCACACCCCCGCCCCCTGACGGGCCCCTGGGACTCCCACGCCTTATCCAACACCCCCGTCCCCTGACTGCCTCGCCCCCAGAATCTCCAAACCATCCAATCCCTCGGCCCCGGCCCGGCACCCTTAACACGCCGCTCAAAGCAGCGTGTCGGAGCGCGCAGCCCCGCCCCCCCCCCGCAGAGCGCTGTTTTACCAGTTTCTATCCGAATTTGTGTTATATCGGGTCGAGTTGTATCAGGGGAGAGGTGTAGGTTTTTTTTTTCTGTAAGTTGTTTTCAGGCTTATCCTGCACAGAACATTGATCTCTCCATAGGCAAATGCATTTAACTGGTTGTTAACAACATATTAAGAGATATTGTTGACTACAGGAGGTATCGGCAGATTAGATATCAGGTGTGATCTTTGTATAAGGACAGGTTTCAGAGTAGCAGCCGTGTTAAGTCTGTATTCGCAAAAAGAAAAGGAATACTTGTGGCACCTTAGAGACTAACAAATTTGTTTGAGCATAAGCTTTCGTAGCTCACGAAAGCTTATGCTCAAATAAATTTGTTAGTCTCTAAGGTGCCACAAGTACTCCTTTTCTTTCTTTGTATAATGGTATAATTACAATTGCTAATTTCTCTACTCAGCTTTAATCATTTTTTATAAAACCCCTTTTCAGTAGATAAGGATATCTACTTGACTGGATATCAAGTTTGGGGGGTGGGGAGGGTGAAAGAGGGAGAGAGAGAAGGGGCTTACAGTTTGGTTAAACCATGAATGCATCAAGGATCTAGACTAAATCAATCGTTATAATAACTGAACCCTGGGTGGAACCTAAAACGCTTTGGGGAGAATATTTATATTTCAAATCTGTTGCCATGACATTTTAGAGAAATTATAATGGAACCTTTCTGTGGTCGTTGGGGCTTATCAAAGCATTAACAGGGCGCTAACGGAAGTTCTCCAAGGGTGAACTGCAGTGACATCACAGGCTGGGAACACTGCAATCGTTGCTGCCCCTGTAGCCATTCTGGCTCGCTCTCTCTCCTGGCTCTGGCCCCCTCCTGTGGCTCCTGTCCCCAGTTGTGGGCCTTATTCTTATGACACTCACATTCAGGGGGAAGTGAGCCCTGGGCAGCTTTTACAATAATTCCTTTTCTTTTGTTTTCTAGGGCTTCTGGCATGCACTTAAAGCCATACCTCAAGTTACAGAAGAAAGAGCGATCTCTAGATATAAGCCAAGATTCCCTGAGGGGCCTGCATATGAACCATCAAAGGTCAGCACAGGAGGAAAAGTATACGAACAACTGCACCAAACTGAGCATTTTACCTACGTCCCCGGTCGTGACTCCATCTCGAAAGCCTTTGGGAATTATTTATCCTAATACTATGTGCAATATGAGTGGGAAAGCTCCAGCAGAAGGCCCAAGTGTTGAGAAGAAGAAGAATGCCCCAACTGCAACAATCCACCAGGGGGATGAGGGGGAAGGACCATTAGATATCTGGGCTGTCGTGAAACCTGGGAATACCAAGGAAAAGATTGCCTTCTTTGCAGCCCAGCAGTGCAACAACAATAGGATGGGCTCAATGAAACTTAAAAGCACCTGGGATATAGATGGAAGATCAGCTAAACGAAGGAAGAAATCCATGGATCTTATAAAAGCAAAGATTCAGTTAGAAAGGATGAGAGAGGCAAACAGGAGATGCACCCAGCCTGAGCCTTTTGCATGCGGCATTGAGCACTGTTCTGTACATTACGTTAATGACAACGGTGAAGGGATATTTCCAGGTCGATCCTTATCTGTAATCGAGATGGTAGCTTTTCTAGAACACAGAGCAAGTGCTTTGCTGGCCGACTGCACCAAAAACTGCACGAACGCTTCTACTACAAGGCTGAGTGGGCAATCCAAAGGTGCACTTCCTGCTTCCGACCCTTTCTCTGCCCCTGGGGCCTGCGAGGTACATTCTGAAAAAGGGACCTGTGGGAGTGGTGAGCAGCAGAACGAGCCTGTGCGTGTGTTGGACATGGTTGCAAAGCTTGAATCTGAGTGCTTGAGGCGCCAGAGCGAACGTGAAGCAGGGAGCCTATCCAGGAACAACAGCTTCCGGAGAAACATAGGGCGGATGTTACTGGCGAATGGCACGCAGTCTGAGTGTGACACTGGGAAGGTATCTTCCGAAGTCCTTGGCCAGGAGGTAAGTTTAAAAGATCCCGTTACAGTGGATGATGATGGACAGAGAACAAAGCTTGGCCCTTCGGCTGCTGATGAATTATGGGAAGGAGCTGCTTCTGGTCAGCAGTCCTTGGGGGCAGTAGCAGCTGTGGATATCCACATGGTGAACATCAGTGTTAAGCATGATCAAGAACCCTCAGTGAGACCCAGCAGCAGAGGTGATTCTGAAATGATCGTGGAACCTCTGGGATCTGTCCCTTCTGCATGTCCAGTAGCTGTTGGGCTGTCCTCGGATGCCATGCAGAGCGAGAGTATGACTGTTGATTGTTCAGCTAGAGAACCTGTATCTATTCCTAATCTGAATTTGCATCCGACAAGGAGAGAGTCTTTATCCATCAGTATATTGGTCACCAAGACCGAGAAGGGGTGCAGGAAAGAGCAGCCTTCTAATTTTAGCTTTGGTGAAGATCCACTTCCAGGGAGGCTGTTCTTTCTGTATCCTGGTCACCAAAACAAGCAAGAGCACACAGGGTTAGGGAAAAGTACTAAAGAAAAGCCAGGAGAAGTGGGCCAAACTGGGGATGCTGCTGATAATAAAATGTATGAGAGAAATAGTGCTTCCATAGAGCCGTTTGCCCTTTCAGTATCTCCCATGGAAAGTGCTTTGCAGGTACTTGACACTTCTTGTTTGAAAAGGCAGGTGTCTCATGACTTTTTGGAGACTCGGTTTAAAATTCAGCAGCTTTTGGAGCCTCAGCAGTATATGGCCTTCCTGCCCCACCACATCATGGTTAAGATCTTCAGATTGCTCCCCACTAGGAGTCTAGTCGCTCTTAAATGTACTTGTTGTTACTTCAAATTTATCATTGAATACTACAACATAAGGCCAGCTGATTCCCGCTGGGTCCGTGATCCACGTTACAAAGAAGATCCGTGCAAGCAGTGCAAGAAGAAGTATGTGAAAGGGGATGTGTCACTGTGCCGGTGGCATCCCAAACCCTACTGTCAAGCTTTACCATATGGCCCAGGGTATTGGATGTGCTGTCACAAGTCTCAAAAAGGCATCCCTGGGTGTAAATTAGGTCTTCATGACAATCATTGGGTCCCTGCATGCCACAGCTTTAACCGCACTCTTCACAAGAAAACCAGAGGAGGAGGAGCAGATGCGGAAGAGGAATATTAGTGCACATACACTTTCTCTTGGGAGGAGGAAATTTTCATGCTCTGTGCTGTTTACAGTGTATATAATTGTGTTTTCACAGGGCTATGAAACTGCACATACTTAAACACAAGAGCCTTTGCCTTTTAGATGACAGATAGCTTTTAGCCCATCTTTGTAAATAACACTCTTAAAAACTAATTGTACATATAGAGTCTACAGCTGGCTGAACAACTTAATCACTACAATGCAGCTATGATAGTGTTGCGGCTATAGGTGTGTGTTTTTAAGTGTCTTGTTTCAAAATCTGTATATCCTGTATAATATATGAATGTTTCTGAAAAGAAACTCTAAATAGGTAAAGGTTAACTTGGTTAAAGGATCTTCAAATGATTTAACTGGACAACCTTAACATTAGACTAGAACAGATATTTGTTACAGTAGAGTAGCCATGAACAAAAGAGAGGATTATTATTGGATAGGCAGAGTATAAAAAGGTTCTTGTCTCCCTTACCCATGTTGTCTGGTTATTTTTTTTTTTTTTTTTTACTTTAATAAAATGTGCATTCTAGATCTGCCTTATCCGACTTTCTCTTCTTGTACAATTTGCCCTGAAATAAAGTGATGTAAAACTTCAGGCAATAGTTCACACTGTGGTGTAGTTCAGAGGGAGAGAAAAAGTGGGTTCTTATTTCAAATTAGTGCAGTATTTGAAAATCAGTTTTAATGAATGAATTCCTCACCCCACCCTTCAGAAGAACCCTTAGCTTGTGCTTTTTCACCGCTCCCTACACTGGAATGAATGTGGACACAGCCATACCCACTGCAAAACTTAGTTGGGTAGAACTATGCTCAAATGGTACTGGGTGGCTGATTTTAGAACATCAGATTCCGGTCCCCCTCAAGTCTGGCTTGGTTCCTGCCAGAAGCCAGGCTCAACCAACGGTTGTGCTCAAGATGCTGGGTTGATCACGCTTTCTGCAGTGGGTGTTTAAATGCTGTTTGACTATGTCCAATGGTGTGGGAGCTGAATTAACTGGGCTGCATGACTGCCCTAGGAGGTCTCATGAGGCTGGGTACATAGCTACTCTTGTCTGAACAGCAGTTCCATGCACCAGTGCATCCTCCTGAGGCCTGACTGCTCACAGTTGTACTTCATAAAGTCTGTGACCTGTTACATTTTTAATCTGTGTAATTAATTGCCTTTTCATGGGGATTTTGCACACTTATCCAGAGGGTGTACTAGCCTGTGTGGATTACAATGAAGGCCTGAGAGAAGAGTTTCCATAAGAATCCTGTTTTTGCATCACACACACTTTCAAAACAAATTCCCCTTGTGACGTTGTCCAGTTCCGTGCCATGGGGGAAGAAAGGAAGAACTGCAGCTGTCCACCCGTGCATCCCTCCTGCCAATGGGAATGGAACGAATATGTGACACGAGCACTTTTCCAGAGAGAGTTTTGCCAGGCAGAGCGATGTAGCAGTCACTTTATTTTGAATGCAAGCCTCAGTCACAGCGAATAAAAACATTCAAAAGGACCAAAGAAAGGAGGGTCTAGCTTCTTTCTAAAAGATACACGCTCTACAAGTAATGCCTCCAGCAAGGGGCAGGGCAGGGGAACAGCTAGTTGCCACAAAACAAAGCATATGTGTGGGTGCTTCTTTCATACGCCTACACAAGGCTGAGGATGTGACTGACCAGGATCGCTGTGAATCACTGGCTCCAATTCAACTGGATCAAAACACATCGTGGGGGAGAGGGGCCCCAATGCACCGTTACCAGACCTGCTGGTGTAGGGATATTCTACCCAGCCTCTGGCAGCAGTCAGTTGCCAGTAGGAAAAGTAAGCAGCAGTCCAGCTGGGAATCACTGAAGGCCCTGCCTCCTGCAATGCAGCCTGGAACTGTTCTGTAGCAATGGTTTTTGTTGAGTGGAGGTATCTGCATCTCAACCACTCCCTTCATTTCCAACCTGAGCCTCAGGACTAGCAGCTGAAGGGGAGAGGAGAAATCAGGCTCCCCTTGGGGCAAGTCAAAAAATATCACTGTGCTATTGACATTTGTTCCAGCTAGGAAAGGTGGCTGGCTTGGGTTTATGTCAGGGCATGTCTGTGCTGCAGTTAGACACCCACAGTGGCTCTGAGGCTGTTTTAATGGTGGTTTGTGCCCAGGCTGTAGCCTGGGCTCTGGGACCCTTCCACTTCACAGTGTCCTAGAGCCTGGGCCTACACTGCCATTAAACAGCCCCTTAGTGTGAGCCTGGGTCAGCTGGCATGGGCCAACTGCAGGTGTCTAATTGCAGTGCAGACATATCCTAAAACACTTTCCCCTTACTCACATGGATGCAAAGGGAGGGTGCTGGCCCCCTGCTGAAGGGGTTGAGCAATTTTCTCTCTCAAAAACAGCAAGTAGCAGCCCTTATGCGTACGTGTTTCCGTCCCGCACAGCTCTCGTCCTCGGACCATGCAGGACAATGTGTTTTAAAAAGTAAAATGATAATTTAACTAATCCATTACCACCAACCTTTCCTCAGGGCAGCAGTAGGTCTCAACTCTTTGGGGCTGCTGCTCTTCTGGGGCCACCTCCCAGGAGCTGAGCCCAGCAAAGGCTCTGGCAAGTTGAAGGAAATCTGAAAGAAGAGAAAGGGTCCCTGACACTTATATTCAAGCGAACAGCACCAAGTGGATCCTGTGAGGAGGAAGTGGAAGAGTGGGGTGGGGTCTTGTTAATCTGTGCTGTGATTTCACCTGCAGATGGGCCTGGCTCCTCCAGTCATGGTAGCACCAGCCCAACTAAATATTAGAGAGACAAGGTGGGCGTGGGGATATCGTTTATTGGACCAACTTCTGTTGGGTGACAGGGATGAGTTTTCCAAGAGCTCTTCAGGTCTGGGAAAGGAAATAAATCCCAGCAGCTCAGCTAAATGCGAGATGGAACAGATTGTTTAGCATAAGTAGTGAGCACATATAGTAAAGGACCATTCAAAGTCCTTATGCTAAACAGTCTCTTCTGTCTTGAATTTAGCTGTGATGCTAAGATTTCCTTTCCCAGACCCTAAGAAGAGCTGTGTGGCTCCAGAGCTGCTCTCTCACCCACAGAAGTTGGTCCAATAAATGATATCCCCTCCCCCACCTCCTCTCTCTCGTAGCCCGGGACCACCACAGCTACACCTACATTGCAAACTAAACATTAGGCAGGTGCAAGTGCTGCTCTCCTTTCTATTCCTACGGGAAAGAGCAGCAAAACCACCCTAGAAAGGATGGGGTGTGATTTGGCTTTGAGCTTTAGTTAAAGTAAGGAAGAAGGAGACTCCCCCCCCCCCCCACCCCACAAAGATAAGATCAAATGCTGTCGCTTCACAGCAGCCAGGCCCAGCTCAGCAAGGCACAAATAGCAGCTGCTGGAGGAAAATATTTTGTAACTAGATAGGGGTTAGTGTGATCACCTTTGGGGTGATGGGTGGGACCCTGGTCACCCTGTTAGGACAAGGCAGGCATGAGCATGAGATGGTCTGAAACCTCCAAGCGAAACTTCCCTTGAGTCTTGGAGGAGAAAAAAAAATGTACATACCGAAGGGGAAAGACGACAACTGCTGCGGCTGCCTGAGTGAGCAGGAGTGACGAGGGCCAGCTGCCATCCAACCAGCCTAACCTGTGCTTTAAGTAGCTGGGTGCACAGAGCACGACTTGCATATTCTTGACCAGTAGGCTGTCTTGGTGATTATATTGATATTGCACATACGTAGACTCCTTTATCAAACCACCTCAGCCTCCCAGAGGAAGGCAAGTCTCAGTCTGAGCACAAGGGAGCAGAACTGAGCCCCAGAATTTGCTAAATAAAGGGTAAATTCTAATTCAGGGTCTGAGATGTCTTTTCCCCTCCCCCCACTTTAGGCAGAGCCTGGTCTACACTCCAGGCCTCTCTTGATAGAAGTATGTTGCTCAGAGGTGTGAAAAATTCACCCCCCTGAGTGCTGTGGTTCTACTGACCTCACCCCATCTGTAGATAGTTGTCAACAGGCAAGCTTCTCTCTACATCAGTCCCACCTCCTGGGGGGATGGATTAACTCCCACGCTGGGAGCGCAGCCTTACAGCAGCATCAGCTGCAGCACCCTACAGGAGGAGAAGCCCTGAGAACATGCAGGTCCTGTTACACGTGAGGGATGGAGTCAAAGCCCCCAATGCAGATGTGTTCAAAACCAGGACTGGGGTTAGCCACATCTGTAACGAAGCCAGGCCTACCTGAGAAACTTCCCCATATAGTAATGTCAACTAGGGAGGAGTTTTTTTCTTGGCAACATGTTTATATCAGAAAGAGCCCCAGTGTAGACAAAATTAAATGGGCAAAGAAGTGCTTCTGGCAGTATAGCGCATGTTGCTCGTCAGTAGGCCATACCCATAAACGCACTTTTTGGCCAATATAACTGTGCCTACACTAGGAGGGGTTTGCCAGGGTAGCTATACCAGCAAACCCTTTCTAAGGTAGACTTGACTCAAGTGCATAAGGTACATTTCAATTCTCTAAACACTGATGCTCTTTCCCCATATTTATGAACAAAACACACATGATCATTTTTTTTTCTTTAAAAATACACCTTTGGAAAATTACCGTTAAAGATTTATTGCAGTAATACAATAAAATTTAGATAAAACATTTGTGTTTCGTTACACCAGTTTGGAAGCTGCAGAGGAAGGCACAGCTTTTCAAAAATGACTAGTGATTTTTAGATGCCCAGCTTGAGACACCTGAAAGGGGCCTGTTTTTCAGCCGATGGGTTCTCAGCCCTGTCCCTGAAAATCTTGGGTTGGGCACTTAAGATCACTAGTTGCTTTCAAAAATCATGGCCTAAGTGGAAATTCCTGCATTCATGGTACCATAAATCATTTAATAAATTCTCCATTGGCTGCCTTCAAATAGAATATGCATAATTGAAGGGGGTTTTCCCCCTCACAACCCCTGGGAAAAACAAACAAAATCTATAAACTAATCCAGTCAAGTGCACTCAAGGTTTGGACACAAACCATCCCACTCCCGTCACTACACACGTGCAAACCACTTTTTTTTCTTTTTTCTTTTTTTTTTAAGAAAAAAATTCTGTATTCTGTTACAAAAGCATTTCTTGAAAAGATATTATGTCCCATCTCATTGCAATAATCTTTTGGTGCCTCTGCGCACGTTGAGTGAAATGACATGTTTGCAAAGAAATTATTTCAAAATACGGAAAACATGATGTTTATGACGGTCTATGGCTTAAAGATTTTTTGTGAAGTACCTAATTAATTTTAGTGTATAAAACAATGATGGTTCTTGCGTTTACATGAAAAAAGTTGTAATAAGTAGCACATAAAACAGGGGTAGAAATGTGTACGTAAAAGGATATTTACATGGTGGGGTCCAGTGCAAAATAAATGGAGAACCGAGCAATATCAGAGGTGACACGAAGAGCCCAAAATACAGTACTTGTGAGCACGTGCTGGTTGCTCACACACACCAAGGGATCTGATCAGCTGCAACTAGTAAAGTGCCTTTACTTAACACAGTAACGGAATCCTAGCTTCCCCCAGCCTTGGACAGAGT